TAAATATTATAACACTATTTAGGCTATAAACTATGCCCAATGTTGCGTGAACTATATCTTGTGTTTTAATTCAATTATACACAATCTCAAATGAATTCTCCGTCAAGTGGTAAATTTCATATTTGTATCGTTTTTCTTTGCATGTTTATTGATACACTGATTAATATTTATAACGTTATTGACATAGAGTTGTTATGCCAGAAGAAAAGCTGGTTCACTTAGTGGTCCTTCTCACATGTGGAAACACCACGCCCACCAACAATAAAATGGGAAAGATAAACAGAGCCCACTATTTGAGTAGTATTATTTACACAGAATTTGTATTCATGTGCTAATTTTGAGTCTTATTATTTTAAGGACTTTTGTGCAATTTACACCTTATACTTACGCCTTTCTGTTTGCTGTCCTGTTTTATGTTTACACCTTCCACTTACACTTTTTGTGTTGGTTGCATATGGTGTGCAGCCTTAAAGGATTGCACACCATAACAGCACCCTTATTTTAAAGATAGATAGAAGTCTACCAATTTAAAATAAATTTTGGGAAAAGAAAAATGTTATCCCGGCATTTTAACATAAATCTTGTATCAATTTTTTTTTTTCCGTTTGTTTGTGAATAGTTTTGCTCATAATATTTAAGAGGTCAGAGGTTCAAAAATCTCACAAAAGTCAAACATTCTAAATCTTGAAACCACTAAAAATTTGCAGAGTCATTAATTTCACAATTAGTCCAGATGTTTATAAACTGACCATGGCACTCGATTATTAAAAACAATAAAATAAAATAAAACGTAAGACATTCTAAAAAGTTGAGAGTTTGATAAACACAAGACGCTTGTTGGTAGGCATAATCAAAATTAAAATGCTTTCAATGAAGACTTTGCAAACTTGAGCACTTGTTCAAGGAGATGGGCCGTATCAGGATGGTGGGCCTCCATCCTTGGCCTATCCGGCAAAATCCACCGACCATCGCTACTCTTCACCATCCCCTTGTTCTCGTCTTGTCGCCAATGCGGCGGCACCCTATACTCACTTCTCAAGAAATTACAACTCTTGTTGACAAGTGCCACATCCCTCTTCGTTGCCAACCGAAACTTCCGGCCATTGCCGTGGTACCCGTCGATGAGGTGTAAATGGGCCTCAAGGTTATGTGCACAGCCCAAATCAGTAGTGGGCTTTAAAAATGGTGAATGGGTATGGTCCAATGCGAGTTCCACCCCAACATGAGCATAACTCCAAGGAAACGACATCGTTTCCTCGACATACTTCTGGTACTGAAATTTCTCATTAGCAAAAATTCCAGGAACTGTTGGAACCTTGTCATGCACATTGACCACCCTCAGGAACTTAACTCCGAGCTCATCGCATCGCTCTTTGAACTTCAAATTACCGACCCGAGGACCGGAAAATGAAAAAACAGTTATCGGAATCTTAGTTATGGAATCACCGTTGTTGATAACGTTTAATTTCATCTCAGCAATGTCGTAAGCGCTTAAAACGGCTAAAGCTGCACCGAGACTATGACCCGTGACTGTGATGCTGAGTTCTTCACCTCTGTAGGTCTCTGTGAGTCGTTTGATTTCTGCTAAAACTTGTTCGCGAGCCGAGAAAATGCAGTACTTACATGAATTCTCTTTCTGGGTATAGAGATCGTAGAACCCGGATTCGATTTTGATCGAAGGGTCGTCGTGAAAATGAGCTGGGCATAAAAAATCTTTCAAGTCCTGGATCCATTCGAGGACGGTGACGGTGCCACGCCACGCCACCACGATGTCGCGGCGGCCGAGGCGGCGGACCTCGGCATCGTCAGTGGCGACAGCGATGTAGCCCATCCAATTGGCGTGCTGACTCCAAACGCTGCTCATCTTCGATTTCTGGAAGAAATTCGGAAGATTGATGTTTGAGGTTGCGTATAAGTATCGGCTCATGTAGTAGCCTCGATTAGCCAAATCTAGCTTTTCAAAGAAATGGGGTCCGAGGTATTTGCAAGTTCCGCAGTACTTGGAGTGAGGATCGAAGTCGAAGGAGTCGTAACAGGCTTGAGCGAACTCGCCGTATCGGATGATTTCACGGCGGAGATGAGAGTTCATGGGGTCTAAAAGGCCTTCCCAGTTGTTGAGTCCTTGGATTTCTCTCCAAATTTGATGAAGTGGCCTTGGATCTTCTTCCATGGATTCTTGTCTTTCTTCTGTGTTTTTTGGAGTCAAACTGGAGTTAGATGATGATGAAATTTTTGTGGGTGGTCTTGTGAGTTTTTGTGATGTGGGGTTGTATGAGAAATTGAGATTTGTGGGTTTGTTGAGGTTTGTTCTTGGTGAGAGCCCTCCCTGAGTTGGAGATTGTAGTGAGTAGTTTGGATTGTTGAAATAGAGTTCCAGAGAAGCCATGAAATGGGTTTCTGGGTTGTGTTGTGCTGTGTTGTGTTGCTTATTTTTGTGAAGGAAGGGGCTTCTCTCCTTGCCACACACACAGAAACAGAGACAAAGGGAGACAGATCCAAGAACCTATGCCCTGTTGTTTGAGAGAGAGATATTAATCAACTCCCGTAGGCTCCGTCTGGGAGAAAAAAGTTGGGTTTTTTTTTGCTAAAATAATCATAAAAAATAAAATAGATTTTTTAATTTAATAAAACAAAATATCACATCCAATCCACAATCATTATCTTCTTTTTCTCACAAAAAAAAGTGAAAAAAACTAAAAAAACAAAACCCCTTCCCAAACGAGACTTTTTAACATCAGGCTAAAATAGTCAAAAAAAAAAAAAAAAAAAAAGGCAAAAAAAGGCAAAAAAATAAGTAAAATAATAATAATAAGAAGAAACAAAATCAAGCAGTGCTCACAATGATGTTTTTCATGATCGCACTAAGCACATTGAGATTGACTGTCATTTTATTCGTCAACACGTCACTCGTGGTACTGTCCATCTCCATCCCATCTCCTCTGCTGATCAACCTGCTGATCTCTTCACCAAAGCTCATTCTCCTGGCCGCTTCGTTGAACTTGTCTCCAAACTCAAGTTGGTTGATGTTTGTCCTCCTTGAGTTTGAGGGGGGCTGTTAACATATAATATAATATGTATATAATATAGTATGTTATAGTATGTATATAATATAGTATGTTATAATATGTATATAATATAATATGTTATATAATCATATATATTCCTTGTCACTGCTTTCGGCCGCCCGCTCTTCTTTCGGCCTTCTTTTCTTTATTTTATTAAAGTAGCTCATAATGATGTCTTGTAATTAAGCTCCTATATTATGGAGCCTCTAATTTGGTTTCAATACAGAGTTTTAACAACATAGTGTTCACTCTCTCAACTCTCTCTCAACTTATTTTACAGACTCTGTGCTGCGTCTTGACTTTGAATTAGGTTAGAAAATACAGGCCAACTTGTACAGGATTAAATAAATAAATAAATAAATAAAATAAAGTAACTTGCTTCAACAATAATGCTACCTTCTCAAATTTATCACCTCTAATGATATGATATTGAGATTAAACTCCACATAATGAATTATTTAGCAAATCAAAATTTGACACTCGTCAGACACATCATTAAGAATAATTTTTAAGGGTGATAAATTAGGCGTTGTTTAGTTTGTGCTTTGAGATGTTATTTCAAAAATAATTTTATGAAAAGACTTTAAAATGTTTTAAAATTTGTTTGATTATATATTTTGAAAATAGTTTTAGAATTTTGAAGTTTAGAAAGATTTGATATGTTTTTGTAATTGAATAGATAAGTGTGAGAGAAAAAGTAATTGAGAATGAGACACGAGAGAGAAAAAGTGATCGATTGATATGTAATAGAAAGAAAAGTGATCTCAATATTTTTTTGGAGGAATGACGGAGCACTTTGTACCTCTATGGAGGTTGTTTTATTTTTGTTATTTTAATTTATTAAAACCCAAACTAAAGAGTAAAGTATTAATGAGTGTGCTTCAACTAGATTCCAATAGTTGTTTCATCGACTGATGTTGGACTTGTATACAACACTAATATTAATATTGTTAATTGACTCAAACAAGTCTTAATAAGACAGAATTAGTTTATTAACTGTCCCAATGCAACCGGCTTACATTAAAAATATTTTTAAAAAATAAATAAATTATAGAATATTTGACTAGGATTTATTTAACAACTGTCTTTTATTAAAAAAAAAAAATTGGTGTTTCCATGAGGTCACTGTATGTCTACCTAATTTTGTGTAGCTTTCCTCTTCCTACAATGGAAGAATTGTTAATTATTATGTGTTTTTGGTTCTATTTAATAACTTGTTAGTGTTGATGATTTATGCATAGAACTTAACTTCTCTCCAATGGGGGTGTTTTGGAAGCCTTGGGTTAGGCTATTTTAGCCACATTTGAGAAAATAGCCAAAAAGCTCACCTGTGCATGATTTTCAAAAAAAATAAAATAAAATAAAATAAAATAAGTCAAATGATTCGCACTGCTGGAAAATCTACTTTTAGCGGCGTTTAAAAAACGCCGCTAAAAGTACTAAAAACGTCACTAATTCTTTTCGTGACGTTTAATACCAAACGTCGATGATGCGGCCGTCGCTATAACTTTATGACGTTTGAAAAACGTCGTTATATTAGTATAGACGGCGTTTTTAAAAACGCCGCCAAATGTCCTGCCTAACTGTACGGTGATGTCACTATCACATTTAGCGACGTTTTTGAAAACGCCGTCATAGACATTTATACATTTTAAATATGTAGCCGTTGGGGTAGGATATAGTGACATTGTTTAAACGCCGCCATAGCCTTTGTTTTAATTTTTAAATTTTGTTAATTTTATATGGTTGAACAAAAAAAATACCTGTCAAACAATTATTAAAAACTAATAATTGATGTTTATTAAAATAATAAATAAACTAAGCTTGAAAACAAAATTAAAAATAAGAAACAATGCATTGCATACCTAAGAATAGCAACAATTCAGACTTTAAATACATCAATTAAAATCAAAATGGTCAAGAAGCCCAAAAAAATTAAAAAGGAATAGAAAGCACACTAACATGACTTATAATATTAAAAATACCACTTGTCTTCCAACTATATCCAAAGATGAGCCTAAACTATATGCAATAGATGATACATTTGGAACCATTAGTACACTATAATCCAATTAAACAAGATAAAAAGAATTAGAGGGGGGAAAAAGGTAAAAGAACAAGAACAAATAAAAAAAGCTTCATCATATTCCTTTAGCATCAGAACCCCAATGATCTAGTCCAAAGCGAACGTACTCCTTCAAAATATATAAACGTTCCCCAGAACTTATGTCCCAGTGCCTCTGCTCCTTGATTTCAGTAAGTATCCAAGGCTGCAAAGAACAGCATATAATATTCATGTTTTACAAAAGCCAGAGAATTCAAACAGTAGTGTTTAAAAATACACAAACATATTATGTGGATATAAATTGCAGCATAATAAAACAAATCAAAGCAAGCCAAAGATCCAAATGCGAACCTTAATTAATGCTCCACGAGCAATCATGCATGTAGAAAGGTCAGGGCAATCAGACTTGTGTCTGTTCCAGTCTAAATATGTAAAGACATCACCATTCCCCAGGACTTGCAAAGCATCGGGAGCCTTTCTTGCACACTGGTAAATGTATTCCCAATCAGCAAGCTTGCTATAGCGTTGCTGACGTGATCGCCCATGTATCGTTACCGCATTGGCTCCCCATTTTCCAATATCTTCAATTAACAAATCAATGTGGTTTTTTCCCTCCAGATAACTTGTTCGTACCTAGAGTAACAACAAACAACTATTGTGAGAAGTTGATAAAAAGTTAATTTTTTTTGATTTTTTATGATTTTATTTTTTATTTATTTGTATAAAAAATAAAGATATAATATGATTTAAAAAAGTCAAAAAATTTAAAAGTTACTTTTTACTGTGTTGTCAAATCACTCCTAAAGATTTCATCAGACATGATTAAATACTATGAGTGACAACTAATTGAGAGGGAGATTTATGACCTAATAGTGGGCCAAACTAAGTTGGACCGGAGTCAGGGTCCTTGCTCGGTCGGACGTTGGGTGCGCGTTGGACTAAAGGCTCAGTCCGGTCAAGTTCGGATAACTTTGGACTGTTATCTCGGAGGAGATGTGTGCTTTGTTAAGTTCGATGGGATTAGTCCTCAAAAGATCGGGTTTGACCGGGCAGAAGCTCGATCGTGACTGTGGAGCTCGGTTGAGCACGCGATCAAGAATTACTGATGAGACCGAACAAGTAACTCAGTGTCGTAAGGTGATGGCTTGGCACCACATTAAGAATAGCTCGGTGGGAAGTACTACGCAGCGTGACGAGATTGCAGGAAGGAGATCCCACTGTCCGCATGCGTCAATACCGTTTGGCAGTTTCATTGTGTGGTGTCTAGTTGTGTTAGCGCTGACGTGTGGGGAAACGTGAGAGGAGAGCAGGTCCATCCGTCCAGAAGGGAATGGGCACAGAAGCGCGCGCAGAAACTATATCAACAATGCTGCGCCTCTATACACAGATCTGGAACATCTTCTGATTAGAGCTCACCTACCATTTTGTCCCCTCTCTCTCTCTCTCTCTCTCTCTCTCTCTCTTCTCCCACTTTCTCTGTGTACTAACTTGATCGTCGGAGGTCCTTTCCGACAACCACCCGCCGGGTAGCTCACTATCTTTGTGTTTTCAGGTCAGTCAGAGGGGAGCGTAGCTTGGACACGAGGAGTACGAATAGCATTGAATATTGGGCTCCAATACAATTGCCGCCGTCTATGGGAAATCTTTGATAGACAAAACCTTGTCCTCCAAGCTCGCCCGATCATCTTTCATGGTGAATAACGACGAAACTCAGCTATCTCTCGCTGACGGCATCACCCAGAGTTGGTTCGGATAAGAGACGGACCCTTCATTGTTCCGAACATGGCGAGCCTGGAGACTTCATCTAGAGGGCTCCCCAAAGATGCGCGGGATAAGCGCGCTAGGAGCATCGATCACTCTCAGAGTCCAGACGGACACCGGCGGCGAAGAGAGTCGCATGCTCGACGCTTGGAGCACAAGATGAGAAACTAAGATGCCATCATCTGGAGGATGGCAGTGGAGATGGAGGCGCTGAAGTGGTAAGTCAAAGGGAAGGCTGTTGCTGGAGTGGAAAACCACAGTGAGCGCACCCAAACCCATCGCTCAGGCAACCAGAACCAGCGAAGGATGCCTTCCCTTTCAATCACCAAGAGTTATAGGGTTGGTGACTTTGACTTGCCGGTAGAGAAGTCGTGCACACAGGATAGCAGTTACTGTCCCTTATGTCCGTCGACGACGTCGAGATACTCTTACTCCGCCAGTTCAGAGGACTTGAGGGACGTCTTGGAAGAACGAGCACGCTGGCAGGAGGTGCAAAGGGTGTCGGTACTGCAGTGGCTGTCCCACGGAGGTCGCGCCAGTGAAGAAGTCATAATGCCGCCACCACGCCCAGCTGTACATGTTCCTTTGGACAGAGACTTAGTGAGGTTGAGCGCCACCCCTTTCTCTTACGAGATAAAGACCACGCCGCTCCCTGTAAGCTTTCAGCAGCCCAAGTTTACGCTCTATGATGGAAAAACCGATCCATACATGCATGTGAGCCACTTCCGGCAAGTTATGGCTGGCTACAAGCGGAACGACGCACTTATGTGCCTTATTTTCCGGTCATGTTTGGTTGAGTTAGGCCTGAAGTGGTTCGAGAGGCTATCGGAGGAAAGTATCGAAAGGTGGCAACAATTGGCGAAAGCGTTTGTGATCCGATTCAAAACCAACACCAACACGCCCAAAGAAGTCGACCACATTCTTAGTGTCAAGATGGAACTGGGCGACTCACTTAAAGCGTACAATGCCAAATATTGGGAAACCTCCAACGAAATCCTTGATTGCCCAACGAACTTGGCAATCACCCAACACAAGCGCGGTCTCCCGGTCAGACATAGACCGAGGGACTAGCTCACCATGAACCAACCGACGACCATGGAGCTACTAATGCAGTGTATCAATGAGCACATCTTAGTAGAGACTCATGTTTTCCTAGCCACCGTGAAAGGGAATCTGGTGGCAACGAACAAAAGAGTGTCCGGAAGGTTCACGCGGTCGGACAGGAGGCAAACAGTCCAAGCAATCATGAAAGAGAATCAAACCGCGGTGTAAACCGTAACAACCGAGGTAAGGGTCGTCGCAATGACGAAGCTGACTACCCCCGTGATGTCGCGGAAGATACAAAGAGAAAATTGAACGCCTGAACAGGCACCACCACGGTTTTCAGGATCTCGATTTACCGCATCCTTAGCACAATCTGCAACGAGGCATACGTTCGGTTTCTGGCTAAGTTAGGTGAATACCTTGGTAAAACTGGGTAGGAGTGTAGTTGTGGTATTAAGTTGGCTTGTGTGTCATTGGTGAAAGTCCAAAAACTCGCGCGGTTAGGTGTCAAGCCTTCCGGTTAATACCGTTAAAAATGACAAATTGGTAGTACTTGTAGCCTATTTGCAGACACGTTCTAGAGATTCACAGTGTTGTATTCATTACCCTGTTTTCTGTTGTAAAGGAAATGATATTATGAATTGAGATAAAAACTTGGCATTGCACGGTTTTAGAAAGAGAACTGAAAATATTTTGGCACAAACATTGTATATGCATTCACTTTATATCTTTGTTAAGATTCATAAACAGTGTTGTATTATCTCTACTGGGTTTTGGCTCACCCTATGTGGAAAAATCATTTTCAGGTATTAATGATATGTTTATGCTAAAACAATAGCTTAGGAGGACTTGGAGCTGCAGGCTTCTTTTTGTATTGTTGTATTTATTTTGTGCAATCCAAGGACTTTAACTGTATTGGATTTAAATCCATTTTGTTGAAACCAAACATTATCTTGGAAAGTTGTAAGCCTTTAAGACATTTACTACTTGTTTAACCTTTATTTCAAATCTTTAACTTGTAACACATGATATAGATTCAGTGTGTAGACTTGTGAATGTATAATTGCATGTGCAAATTTTATACCAGGGAATCTTGTGAATTGATAAGGTTATTGTATTTAGAATGGTATTATTGTTCATTAACATTGTAGATGGTTTTACTGCAACTATTTCGAGACGTTACAATTTGATATTAGAGCGTACTGGGTTTGAATATTTTGGATACGTGGGGAGTGATTTTTACTACAATGGGTTTATCTCGCTTGATAGAGATATTTGTATATACGGTATATGTTATGTGATAACATGTTTATGTGGCTAAATAAGTATGAAATTTAATTTTTAAGATGTTGATTGGATCTACAGGTTTCTAGAAATCCTGTTAGAAGAGCACTTGATCATTGCTATTTCTAACTGGAACTCTGGCAATGTCGCAGGACGATCATTATCTTGGAAGGAAATTCGTATGTGTTTATTTGACTACATGCTTATGTGGAGTGAATTAACTGTTGTCCATCGCGTTAAGACACGAGTGAGTTAGCTTTGGCATATTTGTAAATGTGCTAATCTCTTGTGTTACCCTCATTAGGATATCAGGATATAGACGTGGTCATAGTAGGCATGGCAAGCCTAAATAGCAGGAGGTGTCACTACCGAATGATATTCTAGAGCAGGAGAAAGGGATTGGTCAGGCTAATGTGGCCGAAGTAATGGATCAATAGGCCATGGGCGCTTTGGCCCAAGAAATGGCTGGAGCCTTATGGGAATCCATGGACATTCTCAAGGTTGAGAATCAAATCCAAGCCCAAGTAACGGACATCTTTTTTGAAGAAGGAGTTCTTCCAGTCGAATCCGGATGAGTTTTTAAGGGATCCAAAGGAGCCACTAAAGGTGGATGAGTGGTTAGAGCAGATGGTGAAGACATTCGAGATGCTTGGCGTCGAGGACGATGTGTTGAGAGTGACCTTGGCATCTTCTAGCTTAAGGGAGATGCGGGCCAATGGTGGAAGTTTGTGTGGGTGCACGTCGAGGTGACTTGGAAGGCTTTTGTCAACGCTTTCTAGGATAAGTTCTTACCTCCCACTGTTAGGGAGAAGTTGAGAAAGCATTTCTTGAAGCTCAAGCAGTTTAACACACCGGTGGGCAAGTTTGAGGCTACCTTTACTAGCTTGTCGAGGTTTGCACTGGAGTTGGTAGCGATGGAGGAACGCCATTGCTTGGAGCTTGAGAAGAGGCTGAGGACCGGACTTTTTTTCAAAGTGGTCATGTCCATGATTAGGGATTATGGTCGTCTTGTTAAGACAGCAGCTCATTTAGAGACCGTGATTCAAACTGAGGAGGAGAGAATAAGAGGTATGAGGTAGAGGAGTCAGGAGGTTCAGGGAGAGACTCGAGATAGTAATAAGCAAAGGGGTTCCAACCCACAATAATCCCAGGGAACATAGTTTAGGTCTACTTTTCTTGTACCGAGTTCTGGGTTAGAGAGAGTTGGTTAGGGAGGGATCACTTGCTTCAAGTGTAGTTAGCTGGGTCACACGTCAAATGTTTACCCGCAGAAGGGAGGAGGGCAATAGTCTGCACCATCTATAGCTTGTTCTCAGAGCCAGAGTCAGGAGAGAGGGCAGCTGCCTATTTGTTATCAGTGTGGGCAAGGCATATGAAGAGGTTTTGCCCTCAGTCGGGTGACACATCTAGTCAGAGGCAGACATAGAGCCATCAGCCTACACAGTTAGCACAGGCCTTAAAGGCCAATTAGGGGATCTCTTCGGCTCAGTCCATGCATTAGGCTTATGCTCTGAGGGGTGAGCAAGTAGAATAGAGACCTACAAGGTGTGTGTATCCTATTATCGCGCCAGATTTAGTGTTAGCGCTTTCGGTAGTGCGAGGTAACTTTTTATTGTGTAACTCTATTGCCAATGTGTTGATTGATATGGGTGCATCCCATTCTTTTACCTTGTCTGGGGCATTAGGATTAGAAGTGGCTCAGTTAGCATCTCCATTTAGAGTAGAGTCACTAGTTGGTGATGAGGTTGTATTGGACCAGGGGTGTCGGGGTTGTAAGATAGAGGTTGCCAGTCGCCGACTTTCCTTTTCTTTTGTATTGATTGATATGTTGAGTTTTGATGTTATACTAGGTATGAATTGGTTATCATCGTATCAGGCTATTATAAAACTGTTACCGTCAGAGGGTTAATGTATGTACCTCGAGTAGTGACTGTTTTTGTTTCTTGGGGGGGCGAAGTTGATAAAGCTTTGTTGCCAGAGCATGATCTGTGTGGTGTGGGTGAGCTTAGTTTCCTTCTTGCTACATTCTTGGGTGTTGAAAGTGATGTGGTCTGAATTGAGTTGCCAATGGTAGTTTGTGAATACCCAGACGTCTTTCCCGAAGATCTTACTAGTTTGCCACCTCACCATGAGATAGAGTTCTCTATTGATTTAGTGTCTGGTACGACACCAATTTCCATGGTGTAGCTTGCTTTTTGTGCTCCTTTCAGATACAACTAGCTCTACAGTTCGGACTCCCGTGGTTTCGAATCTGATTCCACAGGTGTAATGTGAAATAGATAAACACAAATGAGTACAAATTTGACAATTCTTTTGAAAAATCGATTTTGAATCAAAATTCAAAAAATGGACTGCTTTGTCAAATTGCAGAGTTGCCATCTAAATATTTTTTAAAAATTTAGGAAACCCGAGACTCGTGCCAAAGGCCACTTATCCGTCATCACTAAAGTGTCTCGGCTCGGGAACTTAGGTACGAGAGGGGAAGGTCATGAATTGAGCACCACCCTTGCTCAATCAAACGATCGGCCTCTACTAATTATGATGTGATTCTTATTTACATTATATGCTCTCGTTCTGATTATTAGGCTAACTTACTATGTGTTGCACACAAGTATAGACTAATTTGCAAGAGTTAGAACACTTTGATTTCATGTGTGTTTTGAAAAGTGTTTGAATATGTGCCACTTAGAAAAGTGATCTCATATGTACATTAATCAAAATTCTCCCAATTTAAGCAATTAGCTTTTATCCAAAGCCATTCAAACAGATATATCACTTAAGCACTTAGCCCCATAGTAAATATGCTAGATATGGCAACACTCGCACACATGCGATATGCTAAAGCAGTAAAGCTTACCCCAATTCCCGAGGTGAGCCAAAAAAGAGAAAATAGTTAGAAAAATGCATGATCCTAACTAATGAAATATGTGTAGACTCTTTATTTTTTACCG